CAAGAACATTTCTACAACAATAAAAGTACTGTAGTCCATCATAGCATGCTCGAATCTTAACTGTGGCATTTCAGGTGGTGCTCTGTGACTTTGCATGGTATGGTGACATGCTTAGTGCAAAGTGTTTGTTCTCTATGCAGAACAAAGGTACAGAGGCATTGCATGATGCTGCAGAAACACCTCAGCTTCACTGCACATTTTATCTTGAACCATCAGCAAGCTCATTGTTGCCTCCATATTCAGTATGAAAGCCCAGCTGAGGCTGTGAGTTCATGTGTAAAATTATTACAGTTTCTCAGTATGACATCATAACTCAGTAAATGAATATGCACTAAGAATAACTTACACACTCCAACAGCTTTTGATTATTTAGGAAAATGGAGATAGTGCCTTCGTATGGATTACCTTAAAGCACAAACATCTGAAAGGGAATCAGATCTGACACCAACTCGGCTGTTCTGAGACTTCCATTTGAAAGAAGTGTTGTACTCAGTGTGTCTGAGCATCAGTTTTCACTATTCTGTAGAGGATTTCAACAATTCCAAGTCCCAGATGAAATCAAAATGCTTGTTGAGAAATGGAATATCAACAGTTATCATAAAAGGAACGTTTTCCTTTTTTAAAGGTTTATTTTCATTTTGCACATATGTACACATGTTCAATATGTGAATACCAGTGAAGACTGGAAAAGGGCATTAGATGCCCTAAGGTTGTGGTTGCAGGGTGTTGTGTACATCTTAGGAAGCACTTTTGAACCTTGATATATCTCTTCCCTTCTCTTTTAATATTCCAAATAGCAAATAAAATGAAGATCGTTCCATGTACTTCAAAATGTGGGCAAGGCCAATGCAGATTCATAATGTAGCAGCATGTGAAAGCAATTATTACAACCTCCTCCCACCATTCTTCCTTTGCTCAACTAAGATGTAAATTCAAACTATGGAATAATAAAATTATTCAAGGAGTGCTAACAAAATTCATGAGCAAAAATTTGAGCCAAGACATACTATAGATAATTGATTTCGAGTAAACAGAAAAAAATATGTATTGGAGGAAAAATATGTGAACCTTAAAATAATCATTCTTAGTATCCATTCAGCTTGTAATTTCTCTCATGAAACTTTATAAAAGTCAGAAAACTTTTCAAATATTTAATAATTTTCTAAACACAGTACTGAAATAATCTATAAGACAATAAAACATTTTTTTGGCTGGGCAGTGGGGCACACGTCTTTAATCCCAGCACCCGGGAGGCAGAGGCAGGCAGATTTTTGTGAGTTCAAGGCTGGGCTGGACCGACAGCCTCCAAAACAATACAGAGAAACCTAGTCTCGTAAAACCAAAAAAAAAATAAATAAATAAATAAAAATTTTTAAGGTAACCATTCATATCAACAAAAGCCTCAAATACACATAGTTGTTTTGCCCTTCAGCAACTCTGCCATACAGAAAATTATAAAAGTTATTTACAATACAAATATTAAAGTAATTATGTGAATTTCATGACACTTTAAAACTCTCTAAAATGGGACTGAAATAATAGTCAAATATTCAGAAAATAAAAAAATACTGTGGACCAGCTGTTGGCATCAGCTACAGTACTAGCTGATAATGCAAAAGTAGACAGTTCTCAACAATGAAAATTCTATTCACCTCATACCAATCAGGATGCATTGCATAGATATCAGCTATACTGTGTTTATTTACTAGAATACATGGACACCCAGCCATCATGAACCTGGGTAGCATAGCCTACGGTCCCCTTGTCTCCAATTATAGACACTTTCACAGACACTAGACATAACTTGTTATTTTGTCAGTTCCAAAAAGTTTTCTCCATTTTTGATAATAAGGAAAGGAGATAAAGATGAAATATTTATTAACTATGACAAAACATGATCAATTGAGATAGAAAGGACCAAATCTATAAAAGTAATTAAGAAAACAAAACAAAAGGAAAAATAGGAATGTGCTTATTATAGAAAGAATTTACGTTGTGTTCTTCATAAAGTATACAGCAAGATAAACTTTATCAAAGAAGATAAGATTTAAAAGGGGGGGCTTGTCAGAGGCTAATGTATAAAGTAAGCCAGCTGCATTTGGGAGGAAGTTCATAGTGTCATTTTCTGCATTTCTCTTACTCATATTAATAAAGTAAACAAATAAAAAGATGAAAGTAACAATCTCCACTGCTATGAAGTCACTACCCCAGTCACAACACCATACCTCAAACTATAGAGATAACTGCCATCTACACTGCATTCGAGGTGAGATAGAAGAACCCTGACAGCATGCACAAAGCCCTCCCATCTTTTATTGAATACAGTATTTCTGAAGGTTTCCAGGTATAAAATCTCAGGATGTAGCATTGACCAAAAGTTTTAGATAAAGGCCCAGTTAGCTGTCCTTTAGTTCCAATACTGAGATGTGATATTGTAGTTAAAGCATATTTGGATTTTGATTGTGAACGTAACCTTGAACAACTGATTTATCTCTCCAGCTTGCATAGTTGGATTTTGACCACACTTTCTGCCAGGCACAATCAAAAGCAAGGCCAAAGGAAAGCTCTTAATGTGTTACCTTTAAAGAAAATAGGTAGACAAGATATCAAGGTAAAAGAACAATCGAGTTGGAAGCAGCGTAAAAAGGTGAAAGAAACAGATGCTAAGTCACAGCAGCAAGTACATTGCAATGATCAGTTTCCACATGTATCTTCCACTCAGTTACTCTGAAGAGAAGTAGAAACATGCCCTAGAAGGTTCAGAAGGCAGACAAAATAGTTATAAACCAGCACATCTCATGTATCAACCAGTCACCACACTAGTTAATCAAAATTAAAGGAAAGAAAAAAAAGTCTACATATTTGGAAAATGGAGAGAAAAAGTTTTCCAAACTACCCATGATATGATCAGATACACAGAAACATCAGAAGAATCAATGAAACCTTAAGTAGAACATTGCAATTATGCAGCAGGTTGCTATATACAAAACCATATAATTTTCCCACATATGGGAAAAACAAGAAAAGATGATGGCTCCCAAGTTTGGTTCCCCAGAAGCCATGCTGGACAGCTCTTGCCTGTATTTCTGGTTCCAGGGCATCTAATGCCCTCTGCTGGCCTGCAGAGATACATGCACATAGATGTGCATATACTGACACACAGACACACACACACACACACACAAATACATTTCTACAAAAACTGTCTATAGTTGTATTATTATTGTTGTTCATTTCAAAAATCACATTTTAAGAAATAACATAAAAAATAAAAATAACTAGGAGTTGAGTATTTTAACAATCTGTGATTTATTTAGGAAAACACTGCCAAAACACCTAAAATTTTTAAAAACTCTTGAGCTAGAGATCTGATTTTGAATAAACAAATTAATAATGTATGAATTAAATTCTCTGTAAATTAAACTATAAGTCAAATGCAATTTTAGTATAATTACAGCGTGATTAATGAAGGGAAATATCCATTAGAATAGCAATGAAAAGTTAAAGGGGAGTGACTGAAGTAAGGTATTCACCCAAAATATAAAATCTATTTTAGGGCTATAGAAATTTAAACTTGTACTTTTTCAGAAATAGATGGCAGACCAATTATAAATAACAGTTTAGATGCAGAAATAAATACATTATTCAATATTAGTTTATAATTGATGTTGAAAATCAGGGCACTGTGGGAAAAGGGAATATTTAATAAATGATTTAGGGATGTTCAGTTTATCATTATAAAAAGCATAAATGAGTCTACATGTATTTCTAACTTTAAAATAAAGTAAGTTTCAGATGAACCTATTATGCCAGAAAAACATATATAAATATTAAAAATTGCTAGGTCTTATTAATGATATTTTTTAATGTTGTGATTGGAATACTTCCCTGAAATTCCTTGTGTTGGAATCTAATCCCTAATGCAATAGTGTAGAGAGGAATGAACATCAAGAGATAGATTAATACTATATGTCCTGATTCATAGGTGTAATCTTAGTGCTTGGGAGTCTGATGAAGAGGATTACCATGAGTTCAAGATGAGCCTGGTCTACATTAGGTGATATCTGGCCATGTTGTTACTGGAGAGGAATTAGTTATGGCAGGAGAAGATTCTAGACCAAAGAAAGAGTTCAGACTGTTTCCCCTCTCTACCGTATACTTTTGCTCTTCTACATTCCTCCAAGGAATGACATATCACAAGGGCCCTCACCACATACCAGTATCTTGACATTGGACTCCTATCCTCTGGAATTGACAGCCAAATGGATTTCTATTGATTCTAAATTACCCACGATAAGACATTTCATTTTAAAACAAAACAGACCAAGACAGAGATTCTTTAACATTTAAAAATTGCTGTATTATTCCACGAAAATACAAATCTCAATGCATAATTTTTACAAAATAATAAAAGCCAACACTATCAGAGTGAACTCTGAATAAAACACAATAATCCTAAAAATTATAATAAATTGTGTATACATATTGAAACTAGATGGCGGTTTATAGATTAAATCTAGAAAAGATTAAATTTAGTAATACCTAATGCTGGTAAACAACAGAGACAAAGTTTAGCATAAATAATAAAAACCCAGAGACAGATATTGGGTTCAAGCTGAAGATCAGACAAGCAAAGTAGCCAAGCCACCAGAGACCTCTTACCTCTACCAAGGCTCAGGGAGGGATCCTATCCTCAACATGGCTTGAGACTTTTGATCCTGCTCCTTTCTTATATACCTCAGTAGTGCTGGGATTAAAGACGTGAACTCTGTTTCTCTTTAAGCCTGATTCACTTTCATGTAGCCCAGGGTGGCCTTGAAATCACAGAAATCCATCTGCCTCTGTCTCCTGAGTTCTGGTATTAAAGTGTATACCACCACTGCCTAGCTTCTATGACTGTGGCTAGCTTTGCATTCTGATCACCAATGGCTTTATTAGATCATAAACAATATATTTCCACTGTCAAAAATGACAATTTTCATCAATTCCTTTGAAGACAACTGGCAACACTCATATGCATTGAAATTGCAGGATAGCTTTTGATCCATCAGTTCAACTCTAGAAGTCATTTGAAGGCTACTACCTGTGAAAATGAAAATCTTGTGGATGAACATTGTATCATCAAGTATGTGTAAGGTTTGCATGGGACAGCATCCAGGCAGTCAGTCAGCATCCAGGCTGACAGTATGGCCAGTCAAATACCAAGGCTTTCTAAACTCAATCTTTTTACTCTGTTCAGTTTATGAATGGAGCTCATCCAAAGCACAGAAGCCCAAGAGCAAACATCTCACAAATATGAAAAGGAAAGCCTTGGGCATGGGAGATGTATAACTATACAGAGGACACAAGGGTTTTGTGTCATCTGCTAGCATCCAGAAAACACTAATGGGTAAAGAAAGTGGATCTTATGGTGATGAACAGAAAAATCTTGACCTCTGCTGTCTAGTAAAAAATGTACATGCGAGGCAAGATGCTTTTATCACTGTGATCTTTATTTTTTTTTTCAGAAAACCATGTCCCGCTTGTTTGAAAATCATTGTGAATTGTGGAATTATTTCTTATTGGTCTACTGGCTTAGACATAGTCATGCTTGCTGATAGTTCTGAATATACTAAGGTTGAAATAAGCAGTCAGGTCTGTGTGTGTCTTAGTCCCCACTTTGCTGTGTTATATAGTGCAGTTTGTAAAGGGTATCTTCTAAATGTGATTTTATTCAAAGAAATTCCAAAAGCACTGCCAAGTGCTAATGCCATTTTCATTCTGAAGTTAAACACAAAAAAGAAGAGAATATGTTTTTAAAAGGAAAAATATAATTACAAATACATTTGTTCTAGTATGTGCTTGATATTTTGTGAAACTTTTACATATGAGTATTAGTTTTTAAATTCTTAAAAAATAATAAAAGTCATTGAGCTAAATAATAAGATGTAGCTGGAAAAAGTAATACAATGGTAAAATGAAAATATATACTAGACGGGAAAGGGGAACAAAGTGTAGGAAAAAATCAGTTTGATAAAGGGTGGTAATGGAAGTACATTTGGTGGATGCATGCAGTCCCTTCATGCTGTCACGGGGAAGAGGAAAACACAAACAGTAAGCATTGGAATGAAGTATTGTTTCATCAAATCTTAGATCCCACGATTCGTAAAATAGACTGCTGTTTTCAGATATGGTAAGTAAGAAAAAGTGTTGTCAATTAGGCATGATATGACCTCTATAATCATTGACTGCAACTGTATCAGCACACAAGATGTTAAAACAATGAAGATGGGGAAACCAACAGAAACAGCTGACTGGAACTAGTAGGAGCTCACTGACTCAGGACTAACAGCTGGGGAACCTGCATAGGACCAAACTAGGCCCTCTGAATGTGGGTGACAATTGTGTGGCTTGGGCAGTTTGTGGGGCCACAAAAGGTGGAACCAGTATTTATTCCTAGTACATGAACTGGGTTTTTGGAGCCCATTCCCTGTGAAAGGATAATTTTTCAGCCTAGATAAGAGGGGGAGGGCCTTGGTCCTGCCTCAGTGTGATGTGAGAATCTTTGTTGACTCCTTGTGGGAGGCCTCACCCTTTCCGAGATGTAAATGGGGGTTGTTGTTGGAGGAGCAGAAGGAGGGGAGGAGAGGGAATTGGGATAGGTATGTAAAATAAAAGATTGTTCTTTTTTTATTATTTATTTTTAAGTTTAAATTTAGATTAGAAACAAGGTTGCTTCACAAGTCAGTTCCAGGTCCCTCTCCCTTTCCCTCCCCTACTCCCGTGCCCTCCCCCAACCCCCCCATTATCCCCTCATTTCCCCAGGGAGGGTGAGGCTCTCCATGGGGGTGTCCATAGTCTGTCATTTCATATAGGGCAGGGCCTAGACCCTCCCCCAAGAGTTCAGGGTAAGAGTGCATCTCACATTGTTGGATGGGAGTCCAATGTCTGTGTGTATACTCGGGATGAATACTGATTTACTGCCCAAGGCTCAATAAATTACCTAGGCCTCCTCACTGACACCCACATTCAGGGGGTCTTGATCAGTCCCATGCTGGATTCCCAGGCTGATGCCTGGGATTCAAGAGTTAACCTTTGTCAGGTCAGCTGTTTCTGGGGGTTAAACCAGCCCAGTGTTAATCCCTTTGGTCATCAGTCCTCCCTCTCTGTTACTGGCTTTCTTGAGTTCAGCTCAGTGCTTAGCCATGGGAATGTGCCTCTTCTTACATCAGCCACTGAATGAAGTTTCTGCTTTCAGAGGTTAAGAACACTGCCTGCTCTTCCAGAGGTCCTGAGTTCAAGTCCCAGCAACTACATGGTGGCTCACAACCATCTACAATTCAATCTGGTGTCCTCTTCTGGCGTGTAGGCAGAACATTGTATATGTAATAAATAAATAGATCTTTAAAAAAAATATTCTTTTTTAAAAATGGAAAAATGGATAAATGTGCATCTGACACTATATGAAATATCATATATGACAAATATATACAGTATAAGAAATACTGTGATGGTGGCTGCAGTTTTTAACATCAAGGTAAATACAGAAATCTCTTAGCAATGAGGAAGGAAACAAAAGCACAAGAAAGAAATAGAAATGGGGTCAGTTTAGCTTTCTTCAATATTGATGGCCAGAGGACACAGGGCTCATCTTGAGGCTCTGAATAAGGAGGAGTTCTATGAGCTGCCCCAAAATAAAAGAAAAGGACCTCCCACAAGAAGCTCATGAAATAGATTATGATGGTCCAGAAAATCTTACTCAATAACCTTATTTCTCATAACCATTCATTAAATCAAAGAAAAAAATCAGAGTATAGGTTAAAGTGATTATTAACTCCACTAAATCAGAGTATGTCTATGAATGCATCAAACATAAATTAAATATAAAGTAAATTATATTTCAAGAGCTCTCATCTAACATTAGAAGTAACCACTTAATAATTAATAATACCTTCATACTTCAGAGACTATCAGCACCACAGGAAACTATTGGAGAAATAGAAAAGAAACCAACCATATTTGTGATCTTACCATATAAGGAAAATTGTCTAATATTACTTGTTTCATATTATTTTAATTTGATTTTATACTTAAGATCACGAAAAAAGAAAAATAATTTACAATGGCAATGTGTGTTGACATTTAAAAATAAATGAAGAAAATAATGTATGAATCTGGTTTACATTTTCATATAAATATAAAGAAAATAAAATGCCAAATGAGATGGTTTATCCTTTTCCTCTGTTTTCTTCCATTTTCCTGTGTCTCCTTTCTAAAAAGAAGTGTGTACGTGCACACACTAGCACACACACACACACACACACACACACACACACGGATGTTTGTATATAATTCAGCAGAGGAACCGCTGCATATAGATCCACATATAAGTAACACCTCCGATATAAACTATGGATTGCTCATACAAAAGTTGGAGATGGTTCCAATTTGGAAAGAAATGGTGGAGAGGAGTCTGATCCAAATAGCAATTCAGGTTGTCATGGGTCCTGTCACTCAAGCTTGTATCCTCCACAGCTTCCTGGGTATAGGAGTGAGATTTGGAGAAGAGTTTGTAGGTGTGGTTGGTTCAGCTTGGAGGTGACCCATAATACTTCCACTCATGTCCCATTGAGTAGAATGCAGTCCCATGGCTACAAAACTACCAGGAAGAAGGAGAACATAATATATCAGTGAGGCCAGCTACTGTGATGAAGTAGCTAACAGAGGCTGCCCAGTCTTCCATTCAGGTCCTCAGATTCATTATCACCTATATTTTCCCATATTCTCTCTATAATTTCCATGACCTAAAGGAAAAAAAAAACATATTCTGTATAGTGCTGCATCCAACTGAGGACAGGGGTTCCTGGGCTGGATGAATCACAGATCTTTCCAACAGACCAGGATCTTTGTTCAACACTGTGCAACACAAAGTGCTAACAAATATTTAAAGATAAAAAAGGGAAAGATACCTGCACACTGAAAATGTGACCAAAGCTATGTGCATAGATGGCTGGTGAAATCCTGTCTTCACTTTTATTTCTCAATAAACTTGTTCAGTGTCCTGTATCTCCTTGGTTGGAGTACTGTCTCTCATGTCCACTCAGAGAGATTATCCTTGAGTTAAAAAACATCTTCCTCTTAAGTTAAGAGACTTGAACCAAGGAGTTACAGGATTTTTAAAACGAGCAATAGTAAATGCAAATGTGTTTGGGTCCATATACATGGAGATCATGTTGGGAAGCTCCTGGAGGCTATTGGTAGGACTTTCTCCAAACCATCCATTCCTCTTAGTGGTCTCTGTCTCATGTGCTTTAGTTATTGCTAGGAGAGCTGTGAGTTCCCTTTGGAAAGAGACTTACACAGTTGTAAGGTATGGGATGCTTTTACCGTAAGGCTCCATTTTGTCCCAATGAAAAGAGGCTAATATGGGGAACTATCTTCCCTTATTCTCCTAGGAGTTTTGCTAAGAGTTCAGGGTTTCTATTACAAAGTTGTCTATTCATCTTTCCAAGCATCCTCTCAAAGTCACGCCTTGGTCAATGAGATTTCTATGAATTGCAAACTCCTATCTGCTTTTCCTAGGACTCAAGTGGGAAATGGGCAGTAAACCATACCATATTTGTGACTTCATATGTAGCTTCCATATTTTGAATATTTTAACAAGCTACCTACCAGTAAGAAGCAATGTATTTTCCTTCTTTGCTTACTATCATATTCCCTCACTTTTTTGCACATTGCTTCAAGTATTTTGTTTGGTAACAGCCAAGCAAATGAGGCCTCAGTGCCATTCATGTCTTGAAAATTTCATCCGTTTGCCTTTTAATTGACAGGTTGTTTAAGGTAATGCAAAGCCTCCTGAAACAAACTGTTTAATTTCATATCTGAACATGGAAACTTGCTAGATATGAAGCCTTGTTAGTGACCTCTACTTCCTTCTGTGAAATCTGGGCAGTGACATAGCAACAGGAGTTACCTCATAGGAGTGTTGTGAGGATAAAGTTAGTGAAGCTGAATCTTAAATTGCACAGAAACTTGAATACTAGCACTTGGTAAACTACAAGTATTTGTCAGATAAATAACATTAGCAAGCATTGTTTGAGTTATTTTTACTTACACTATTATCCAATTCCTACAATTTTAACTTTG